GCCTTTGAGATTAATGACAGAAAGCTCTTGTTCGACAAAGTCTCCAGCATGCATGGGAGGATACTTGCGGGCAAGGGGGGATTCCACGAAGTGGCCTAGAGGTTTTAACACAGCATCTGATGCTATGTGTGCAAAAAGCTACAAAAGATCAAGAGAAAAGTCAAATAATAACAATTAAAGTCATGTTGACCATGATAAACAACAATGCAATAAATGAGAAGAATCAAAATGATTGCAACCTAATTGCTTAACTAACTCACCGTTGAGGACACTCTCCACAGGCTGCGGTTTTGCTCCAAGGCTAGTTTGATTGCATCAGTCGTCCGGTTAGTCACAACAACCTCGTGCATGCCAGCTATGCAGTCTCCTCCAGTCAACCACTCTATCTGCATATATATTAGTACAAAGTGAGGGCCTCAAAAGAGCATCGATTATCTCCACTGATAAAGACTTCATCAGTGCAACAAAAACGAAAGAAAACTAAAATTCACAAATTCTTTTTCAACAGTTGGATTGGAAACCAAAGAGGAAAAAAGGTGAGAAAATTTTTTTGTCAAAACATTATTTCTGTTTCTGTACTAATCTAATCACAAGGAAACAGAACACTGAACATACATGATCCCAAAAAATGACATTTTAACTGACATCTAGTACATGCAAGTCTTCCGCTGTATAATTGAGGGTATGATTGGAGGCTAAAATAATTTAACAAAATTATCTTCTCATATATGACCAACAAAACAGCCAGATAAACCCACGATAAGAAAACCAAATTATTTTCTGTTGTATTATTGAGGATATGATAGGGCAAAATATAATTAACCAAATTATCTTCTCATATATAGCCAATTATATGACCAATAAGGGAATGAACAATAAAACTGCCAAATTGAACCCATAATATAATCATAACCAAATTATCTTCTGATATGTAGGCAATTTCATTGATAACAGAATAAACAACAAAACAGCCAGCTTAATCCAACAAGTAAATCGTTAGAAATTAAAATCATCTGATTTTAACAATAGTCAGAACTGGGGGAATCCTACCTGCTTTCCTGTTTGAATTGATGATTTCCTCGTGACAAACCGCTTGAAAACTGCTTGATTGCTTTTTAACTACCCACTTTCTTTATGGTGGCTAACTTGTCGTAGAACCGCCGTCTCTAACTGCTGTCATTACTCTTTGTCTTTCAACCGCCTTCAACTGGGCTCGTTGAATCGTGGAATGTGATAAGATTACTCAATAACTGCTATTCTGGATAACCATAATATTTTATATTTGCTAATATCCTGAGCGACTCGAAAGTTTAGACGAGAACGGGGTCATCGCTCTGGACGATCATAAGGCACTCCATTTGCTCAGATTCTGGACGTCTTGCAAGCTTGGGCGATGATGTTACTGTGTTCGTGGGCTTCCACTGCATTCATCAATAATCATGTTTGGACCTTTATCCTGGACTCCCCAATTGGGCTTCACTCTTTGAGCTATTTAATTTGGGCTGCACTTTTAGTGTGTCAACAGTATTACACCTTTCATCCCCTCTAAAGGTTAGTTGAGTCCAACTTCATTATTTCTTAAAAAAAGAAAAGAAAAGAAACATTTAAGTATTGAATCTTTTAGAAAGCCTACACAAAAATAACTCCTTCGGAAACCCGTCCACTTGGCCATGATTCACTCCATAGTCAAGTCTGGGGTCCATTATCTGACAGGAGTGTTGAGAATTGTGAGGTTAAGGAACTTGCATGTCCCCTTTGTCGTAGCCAGGTGAAGGGATGGATTGTCGTCAAGCCTGCACGAGAACATCTCAATGCCAACGGAGCTGCATGCAAGATAACTGCTCGTTTGTTGGAACATAGAAAGAGTTGCGGAAGCATGTGAGGTTAGAGCATGCTTCCGCTAAGCCACGTGAGTTGGATCGTGTTCTAGAACAGAAGTGGAGAAGGATGGAGCGTGAGAGAGAGACGCAAGATGCCATGAGCACAATAAGGTCATCAGTGCCAGGAGCTGTGTTCTTTGGTGATTGTATGATTGAAGGAAGTCAATATTGGTTCAATTCAGGCGAAGAGGAGCTTTATGATGAGATGGAGTTCAGCAAGAGGAGGGCTTCGAGGAGGGAATTGATCACAATTTAATGCGGTTCTTTCCTTTTTGGAGGCACTCGGTTCTACTGGTAGAAGATCGCAGAGAGGTTCTTTATTCTTACCATGCATTTAGTAGAGGTGTTTTGATTAATTTGATCAAGATGACGATGATTATAATGAAGATGACGGTAACTCTTACATGTCACTGACTAGCCGTCTAGCGTCCTTTTAGGACGTTCAAGAAGAAATCGTAGAGATGCAAATGCAAACTGAATTTGATATTAATGGATTTAGAGAAGCTAAGAAAATATGAAAGTGAAGATTTTCTAAGTCATAGTGGGTAAGTAAAGGGTTAACATTTGTACTTCAACGTTTTCATTCATTTCCTTCTTACAGATATTCCGTACTTCGATGAGTTTTGGGATGGCTCAAGAATATGGAGGATAAACACTTGTTCATAAAACCTTTAGTCAGTCTACAATTTCTTGATTCACTCGTCTTGTTATGTAAATTATTGACATTCTTTTTTGATTTGCTAATGACAATGTAAGTTCTACATCTGAGAATCCTTTCAAATTACAGTTTGTGTACATTATTCTTTTCTACTTTCAAGTGCAAGAAACAAATAACTAACATAATAAATTGAAATTTTTGAAAGAGAAGACGAGTTAAACGCGTATTTTAGCACGTACGTTTGACGCATATCTAACTATTTTTAGTATCTGTTTGGACCATTTGATATGACTGCGATGTAGTCTCGAAACGAGTTTCTAGATGACGTGACAATTTGTGGATTTGGATTGTATACGATCATCGACAAATTTTAAAATTTAGCATATTATCGAAATTTTCAAAATGCTAATCTAGAATGGCCTACTTTGATGCATCGTAACTTTTGTTATGATCGATCATTTTGCATGCCATTTAGGAGCAAAAAAATTAAGTTATGAGCATTTCAAAATAGTATTAAAAATACAATATCTCGACTTCATTTGACATGTATTAAAGTAGGTCGCAAATGGGTTAAAACAACTGTTTTCTGAGAAAAAAATTGTGGGGTCATTTGACCCCACATGAACTCTTGTGGATCCGCCCCTGATGTAGATGATTTAATTCATAATAAGTCTATTCCCTTCGACATCAATGATCTAATAACTTGGGATAATCTTGACATAATCTAAAGATCCATGGGTGATAAATGGTCCTACGAGAGATCTTTCACTAGAAAAGGGTCCTAAAGATAATTTATCTAGATGTTTCTCTACAATCTATTAAACTCGTGATTTATCAAATGGTGAGAAACGTGATAGGCCATGGCGATGTATTCAAATGATCTTGATAGAGTTTTTTGTTTTTATTGCAAGTTATTTAAAAAGGTTTATTAATAAATAAAGGATTAGTGACTGGGAACATCTTAGTGCCAGGCTTAAGGAACATGCAATGGATTGTGAGCATATCAACAACATGGCTGCTTGTACTTTTCTAATTTACGACGTGTAAAAAATAAACAAATATATAGATGTCGTAATTTTGCAACGAAGTAATTTTATTGGTATGTATTTTTTAAATATCAAACAGGGCTCTCAAAATCTCAAGACTAGTCCTCCAAATGACAAGTTGTATGGAAAGAAGGATGAAAAGAGATAGTTCATCGAAGACGTATCTGAAAAGTTAAGTTATTTGTCACATACAAAGTAAAGTATAGCCTATGTTGTAAGTATTATAAGTCAATTCGTGCATGCTTCTCTCATTTATCATCAGCTTATGGAATGTTAGATACTTAGAAGGCACACCAGACAAGGGTTTCTATTTCAAGAGAATAATAATGGAGATTTTGATTGGCAAAATTCATTGTCAATTGAAGGTCAAGTACTAGTTATTGTACCTTCTTGGGAAAAAAAAATTAGTTACATGGGAAGCAAGAAACAATCGGTTGCCCGCTCTAATGCAGAGACAGAATACTGGGCTATGGTTGAAATCATTCTCCTAGATTTAATGGTGGAAGTGAAAGAACCAATGATGTTGCATTGTGATAACAAATCTACTCTATATATAGTCCATAATCTAGTTCATCGCGACTGGACCGAGCATGTGAAAGTTGTACACCTTTCAAACTTGAATTGGGGGGAAAAATCGTATTCACTATGGATCCTCTTGTAAACAACTTGCAGACGTGCTCACAAAAGGATTGCCAAGTATCTTATTGTTGTCAAGCTTGGAAAGCAAGATGTTTATCCACCATCCGGAGTGTTAAGAATGTTGATTTATATTTTCCATCTACTTGTACAAATCTATGTACTAGAGACAAGACTCGTTGTATTTGTTGCGTATTAACAGAGCTAGTTTTTGGCAGTGGGTAGGTGACAAAGTGTTGTATGGTAAATGAGACATCTTTCTCTTGTAAAATCACAAATTTTGTTTTCAATTTAAGCTCCCGTTTGGCTACATTAAAACTCATTAATTCGCATTATTTGCCAATTTTTCAAACAAAAGCGAACCCCATGTGTCACGTTGTTCAGAACATATGTGTACCATGAAAATGAAAGGTTTTCATTAATAATGGAGGGTACACTTCACTTTATATCCCTAAATGACGATAATACCCTCACAACCACTAACCAATGAAAATGCGGATAAGGATAATTGAACGAGGGATAATTTTGTCTTCTATCATTGATGTTAGACAACGATTTTGTCCAGCTATCTCAACGGTCCGTTTGACTAAAATAAATTAATGTCAATGGACGAAAAAAGTGACAGATTTGGGCCCCACTTGTGTCAAAAAAGGAGGGTTGAAAAGTAACAGGAAAAACAATTTAATGAATTTTAAAAGAGACCAAACAGATGCTAAATAATAGAATTTTCCTTTAGGGCAATTTGAACGTTGAGGAAATATTCGCTATCATATATCTCCAAGAAAGAAAAGAGAACAACATACACTAGAAAAATCCACACATTAATTAACACGAAGCTTCTGGGATTTGACTCTGGTTTTTAATACAAATTTATCTGTTACATGATTACTAGATAAAGAAAACTACATAAGGCTCATTAGTAGCCCTCCACACACTTATTCATGAACTTGTTCCAATGCTTTTTGCAGTTTACTTCGTAATTTGACCTGCATAAAGAAAAGGACAAACATAACTCATTTTACATATATATGCCAATAGCAAGAAGAAGGAAAAAGAATTGACTAGTCTACGGCCAGTTTAAATCTACAGTTGGTAAGCCATTATCATTTCATAGCATTTGTTAATTGACAGGTAGATATTAACTGCTAAATCCTTGCCTTTAGATATTATATAGAACAATGCTAAATTCCAACAAGAGATCATTTTTCCTCCAAGCAAGGACATACGAAAAGAAAAAGATATGAATAGAGGCAATACAATGGAACTGAGAGAAAGAGTATTTACATGGTTCAAAGTAGGCCATGCACTTATCAGGAAGCTGAACGGCCATTTTCCGGTCGACCCCTGAAATGGTCGGTCCATTCAAAAGTGCACAGAGACAAGGCTGACCTAGAGCTTTAATGGCAGCACAGCAAGCCTCGGTTGGAGGCATGTGTATCAATGGAATCACTGAGGCCCTGCAAGGTATCAGCTGAACAAGCATTGAGAAGTAACTGCTGCCACAACTCATCTGTCCATTGCTTTCCTGCACATGACAACCCATCACAAACACAAACACAAGCAACAGCAAAGTAAGCAGGGTGTTTGTTTTGTAGAATTTCATGTTTTCAGGCTTGGGAAATCCAATACCAGTAACTGAAACTTATAGCAAAATGTCATCTAGGTTACCAAACTTTGTATTGCATCCAATTTATGCTATTTTATATTTCGTACCCCAACACTTTGTCACACTTGATTCATGTTACCTGTAAGAGCTAGCTAACTCTGCTCTACAGCGTTGACATGAATTTGGCACCTTTCCATGCAGTTACGACACCCAGATTTCATGAAATGGCCCTCCTATACAAAAGGGTCAATGATTTCTGGAGAAAATTCCAATTTGCAGCTTACTGTCAATATGTACACCACCTGTAGATTAGAGACTAAAATATACATTTTGACCTGCTGACTAGGCGAATGCAGTGTTATTTATCAGTTTTGCATTGTAATGGAATAAACTACGCACAAATCAGGTAAGAAGATAGGATCAGCATTTCAACATTGGAAACAAAAATAATAAATTGTTCACAACAATTGTCTTGGAGTAAAATTAATTGAGCACAAATTCATACAGTGTCTTATAAACAATTTAGGGAAACTAAGAAATTGAATGACTAGATCAAATCCAGCATTCCTGCTATCTGCCCACCAAATATTTGAATCTCCAAGTGTTATTGACATTAAATGAACCGCATTCAAGTTGTTAAAAGTTATCAAAGGTCGCCTTTACTGCCTTTGAGATTAATGACAGAAAGCTCTTGTTCGACAAAGTCTCCAGCATGCATGGGAGGATACTTGCGGGCAAGGGGGGATTCCACGAAGTGGCCTAGAGGTTTAAACACAGCATCTGATGCTATGTGTGCAAAAAGCTACAAAAGATCAAGAGAAAAGTCAAATAATAACAATTAAAGTCATGTTGACCATGATAAACAACAATGCAATAAATGAGAAGAATCAAAATGATTGCAACCTAATTGCTTAACTAACTCACCGTTGAGGACACTCTCCACAGGCTGCGGTTTTGCTCCAAGGCTAGTTTGATTGCATCAGTCGTCCGGTTAGTCACAACAACCTCGTGCATGCCAGCTATGCAGTCTCCTCCAGTCAACCACTCTATCTGCATATATATTAGTACAAAGTGAGGGCCTCAAAAGAGCATCGATTATCTCCACTGATAAAGACTTCATCAGTGCAACAAAAACGAAAGAAAACTAAAATTCACAAATTCTTTTTCAACAGTTGGATTGGAAACCAAAGAGGAAAAAAGGTGAGAAAATTTTTTTGTCAAAACATTATTTCTGTTTCTGTACTAATCTAATCACAAGGAAACAGAACACTGAACATACATGATCCCAAAAAATGACATTTTAACTGACATCTAGTACATGCAAGTCTTCCGCTGTATAATTGAGGGTATGATTGGAGGCTAAAATAATTTAACAAAATTATCTTCTCATATATGACCAACAAAACAGCCAGATAAACCCACGATAAGAAAACCAAATTATTTTCTGTTGTATTATTGAGGATATGATAGGGCAAAATATAATTAACCAAATTATCTTCTCATATATAGCCAATTATATGACCAATAAGGGAATGAACAATAAAACTGCCAAATTGAACCCATAATATAATCATAACCAAATTATCTTCTGATATGTAGGCAATTTCATTGATAACAGAATAAACAACAAAACAGCCAGCTTAATCCAACAAGTAAATCGTTAGAAATTAAAATCATCTGATTTTAACAATAGTCAGAACTGGGGGAATCCTACCTGCTTTCCTGTTTGAATGAGGAGACATCCCACGGGAACCTTCACTTCCATTTTTTGTCCATTTCTTAGCCAAATATTTAGACCTGGGAATCTACTTCTTCCATGAATTGTAAGGAAGTTGAGGTCATAGTGATATCCAGCAAACACAGTGCCTACTTGGCCGTGACGTCGTAGGTCACTCCCTGTTGGAGCAAGCAGATGAGGTCCCTGGAATTGGAGAAGTGAAGATACTTGGTATAAGAGTATGTCAAGCCATAAAGAAAGAATGTTGGTATGAAAAATTGAAAATAGAACAGCGAAATTCTGGAAAACCTTAAATGACACTTAAATGCAAAAATGCCTAAAAGGAGTTTTATGCCACTGAAGCAACAGATCTCATGGCTTCAGGCTTGGTAAAGAGAACTATTGGAGAAGTTCAAAGAAGTAAAATATTAGGGAAGGGGAAGTGAACTTGGTTACATCTTTGGGAGGATTTAGTGATTGGCAATTTTTCAGCTACGATTCACACCTGAAGTGGATGAATAAATATTCCATTGCTCTAGTTTTCTTTTGAATTAAAAGGCACAAAGGATGTATTGGAGAAAAGGGAAAGTGAAGCAAGGAAGAAGGGTAACCCTTTACGTAATTTTTTACATAAATTTTCTTCATTTGTTACTATGATCATCCATGTTGCAAGCCCCATTTCCAAATTATCAATAAAATTATGTAGATACATAAACCAAGGCTCAATTGATAAAAGAAGAGGAACTGAGCGAAACAAAATAGCAAAGAGACTAGCAGGCACAACTCACATGCGTATTGAAGTTCTTCCACATTAACTATTTGACTATTCATAAGAAACAATACTCATATTTGATGCATGACATATCTTTAACATGGATCTTTTACTATACATAATACAATAACAAACTAAGCCTTGTTCCCAGTAAACTTTGGTTCAGCTATATGATTCTTTTAGTGTATAGTATGGAAACAAATGGTCAAGCAAGAAAATTAAAAATATAGAATCAAATCATACATATTTTCTGATTCCAACTGGAAAACTTGTACAAAGACAAGAAAGACACTGGATCGCATAATTCCAACCAGGAAAGAAATGCATCTGTAATTTCACATTCTTTTATAGTTACTCCATTATGCAGAAAAAGACATATTTAATTGCAGTCTTATAAGACAGCCTCTAGGCATCAATTTTCTGAGAGGATGGGAACAGGACTAGAGATTACAATCGTGGCTTATTTGTATTTTTATAACAATCAGATAGAAATGTTTCTTGCTGGGACAGAATTGAAGAAAGACAAGGATGGGTGATGTAACCCAAAAAAACAAAACAGTAACCTGCTTCATAAGAGAAGTGAATGCAGCCTTCTGCAGGCCAAAGCCAATGGCTGCCATTTCAGCAACAGCCTGAACAAGAATAGTATTACACGAAAGTTAAACAATATGTGTAACTAGCTGCAGGAAATAAGAAACACACAGTGCTGATGATTCACCTCTATTGCAGATATCATCTTATGTCCCCATGAATTCATGGTATCTTCCCACTCAGGAAATCCCTCAGGTATTACAGGCTCCGAATTAAGCTCCTACAAGATGGATGCTTGTCAATAACAAATAGAAGCCCAACTGTCCCTAAATCAGACTGAAAGGAATTTGATCAACCTTAAAACGGGTGTTTGATGGTCGTGGGCCAACTCTCCACATGAATCGCCACTTAGGATCTGGTCCAGTGAGAGCCGATGACTGGAACTCTAGGGGCATTGCTCTTAGCTTCTCTTGAATTTCTTCATCAACTAGACTACGAGGTACTTCAACTCCTTCAGGTGTCACTCCAACCTGTGAAATATGAGAGCAAAAAACTGCAATTAGATTAAGTGGCCCTCGACCAGAAGATTATTAAACCCCTACTCCATGGAATATTATTAATTTTCTAATCTGTTAACTATGTCCATCCCTTCTAATTAATTAACTATGCTAGCTTCTCCATAGTGAAAATGTAAGTGAAATAAAATGAAAGGATACAGAAGCAGTTGTATGACTAATGATATGTCCATATTCGCATTTAGCATTCAAGTCTAGAACATGGATGGTGAAAAAGCTACACCTATAAATCAGGAAAACATGAAAAATAGGATAAAATTACTTTTTAGTGTCTAAGTTAAGGGACTGTTACTGACAGAATTTGCACAATCGAAGAGGTATTCTGCCAGCGTTATTTGTATCTAGGTTCATTTGATTTTAAGAGACATCAGCCTCTAATTTAGTTTCCAGGGAAGTTATCCCCTGGAAAGAAATTGCCTACAAGTCTGTGTTAAGCACAGATAGCACTAGACAAGCATCAAACTGAAAAGCTTACCAGACAATCACTTTTACATATAGAACAGCAATTAACTAATTGCATTTTTCTCTGTATATGTTTTTCAATTAATGAAAGACAAGCTCAATTGAACTCGTTGAAAAGAAAATGTGAGCCATTTTTATTTTGTAAAACCTGTTGTAGAAAAAGAATTATACCTAAATGACATGGCTTCAAAATTTTGCTCATTAAATTGAAAAACTGGAACTTCAGTCTAATTACAAGGTTGAATGAGGCAGAAGAAACGTGCAAGGACAAGGAAGATGATGTTCCTAGGACAGATTTAAAAAATATGAAATTGTAATCATGGCCTTTATATAAATCTTTAGGAAATACTGTAAGATTGCAGTTTCAAAGAGTTGTAACTTTAATAATAATGTCACGATACTACTTTTTGCAGCAACGGGCACCTTCTGAATCGTGCTTGTCTCATAAAGGCTCTTGATGCGAATAACACTTAATAGTGGGAAACTCTAGCCCAATTATAGCAATTTAATCAGCAAGGGAAAGAGATTAAAAACATATACTACTGATGAAAATCTCAAAATAATATAGGCTTCATGTGAGGACATTATTAGTACTAATTTAGTCTGAATTTTCCAATCCAATTATAGCAATACAGTTGGTTTAGTCTGGCATCAATGTTCGCTTTGTTTAACCATTTGAAGAAGCAAAACAATGAACTTCAATTCCAGGTTCATTGTATTTTATGAAAAGGAAAATCTACCCAATTTGAATTTAATTTCCCAATTCCAAGATCTCAATTCAATTCCATTTATCGACGCACACAGTGAAGGCATATAAACATGAACTAGTTATGAATGTATTGATATGATTCAAAATATAAAGTAACATACGGGAGATATTTTCTACTCGACGATGGAGGAGCAAAACTCTAGTATACCCTCAATCATCACAATATTGGAGACCACAAATCAACTCACCAGTTGAGCACAAATTTAAACATTAAATACTAAAACCAATCACGTGCATAAATTAGCACGGAATTGGACCTCAGAACTATAACGTACGATCCAATTTAAATTTTTAAAACTGATTATGTTATAATCTGAATTATAAGACCTCAAGTACACTGCAAAATGCTGTCCAAATTATAAAATGAAACTTTGAGAGGGACCTGATAATGGAGATGAGGGCGTTCTTGGAGGCGTTTAAAATCTTCAGGCATTTCGAAGTATTTCTCCATCATATCGATGAACAGATCGTTGTCTTGTGCTGTGCATCGCGGGTCTTTGACTAGTAATACTCCCGTCTCCCTTAGGGTTCGGCTCACCTCCGAGCACAGACACTTCACCTGTGGATCGAGCTCTTCTTCATCAGAATCTGATAATTTCAATGAGGATTCCAAGTATGGAGCCAGATCAATAACTGGAATTTCCATTTTTCAATTTTTATTTCTCTTTGTCCTTTAGAGAGAGTAGAATTGGAGCGTTGGTGAATAAAGAGAGGAGAAAAGGGATGGCGGGAGAACGAAAAAGTTTGTGCTTTATTGCGTGGGGGCTGAAGCGCACGTTAGTGATATTCTACCATTTTGCTTGTTTCAAGAGGAAAACATTTTTTTTATATTCTTGGAAAAGATTACTTATTTTGTTATTTTACGTAATTAGTTTACGTATGGGAAAGTCTGTAAACGCCAAAACGCAGTCAAATCTTTAGACGCAAAAAGAAATATTCGGTGTGGATTCTCTAATTCATTTTCAATAAAATTTAATTTCAATGCATTAAATAAAGAAGCAAACATTAATCAAAGAATAATGCTCGAGCCAGGTTTAAAACATCCCCAATGATAAGATAGTTTAGATTAAAAATATTATCACATAAGCTAAATACGGCCCCGTTTGGCATCGATTATCCCAAAAGTTTATTTTTCACTCTTTTTTTCAATCACATAATTTTCCATAAAATAATATTACATATAAATCGAAAACTTTTACATTTTTTTAACCACACATTATCCAAAAAATAATATTCAAAAAATTAAGCCCTTGTTTGGCTCTCCATTCACATTCTTTATCTCTCTTATTTTCAACCACAAAATCTTTCATAAAATAATATTACAAGCAAATAAAAAAACTTATCATTTTTTTTCAACCACACATTTTTCAAAAAATACTATTCCAATCAATAAAATTTGAAAAGAATAGGAGCCAAACGAGACTTAAAATTGCCACATAATTGGGGCCAAACGGGATATTGTTTTTAAAAAATCATAATGTGGACTATCAAATTGATGTACTAGGGGCCAAAAAAAAAAAGCCGATATTGTCTAAAGCACAGTTTAGATTCAAAACTTATGTTAGACCTATTGACTGTGGACTCAACAATTGAATTTTTCTCTATTCCTTTCAATTTTATTTATTTTTATTTTAATATAGATAAACAACACAAGGAGTATTATTGCGTTGTAAATGAAATATACTAGAGTCCAATTTCTAGTTTGGATTTCTATTCATTAACCATTAGTGGCATTTATACTTCAAGTCTTTCAGCTTACCTATCAAGTAAAATTGCATCAGAGATGTTTAACGCAACAGTGGATTGCTTACAAAATTGGGTCACATAAGCAAATATAGACAATGTTTGGAAAATTCATCTTCAAGGCTAGTTAATAGAGATTTCATCAAAGTGATGAGACTAAAAAATAGATAACATCTAAATTTAAGAATAAAAATTAAAAATTAAATGCTCGTTATATTCCATCATCTCTTCTGTTTACCACCATTATAAAATACCAAATTAATCCAATGTTTCGGAATATTAAGAACGCCAGATCTTCATAGAAATTCATCATAAAGTTTCCAATTCATAAGATTAATAAAGCATACGAGGAATTAAAACAAGATTTACACTAACACCCAACAGATCCCTGAATTAAGCCCTTTCACCCCTAATCCTCCTAGCTAGCTGAATGTCCTTGGGCATGATAGTCACCCTCTTAGCATGAATAGCGCACAGATTGGTATCTTCAAACAGACCAACAAGGTACGCCTCAGCCGCCTCCTGCAACGCCGCCACGGCGGAGCTCTGGAACCTCAGATCGGTCTTGAAGTCCTGAGCAATCTCACGAACCAGTGCCCTCGACCAGAAGATTATTAAACCCCTACTCCATGGAATATTATTAATTTTCTAATCTGTTAACTATGTCCATCCCTTCTAATTAATTAACTATGCTAGCTTCTCCATAGTGAAAATGTAAGTGAAATAAAATGAAAGGATACAGAAGCAGTTGTATGACTAATGATATGTCCATATTCGCATTTAGCATTCAAGTCTAGAACATGGATGGTGAAAAAGCTACACCTATAAATCAGGAAAACATGAAAAATAGGATAAAATTACTTTTTAGTGTCTAAGTTAAGGGACTGTTACTGACAGAATTTGCACAATCGAAGAGGTATTCTGCCAGCGTTATTTGTATCTAGGTTCATTTGATTTTAAGAGACATCAGCCTCTAATTTAGTTTCCAGGGAAGTTATCCCCTGGAAAGAAATTGCCTACAAGTCTGTGTTAAGCACAGATAGCACTAGACAAGCATCAAACTGAAAAGCTTACCAGACAATCACTTTTACATATAGAACAGCAATTAACTAATTGCATTTTTCTCTGTATATGTTTTTCAATTAATGAAAGACAAGCTCAATTGAACTCGTTGAAAAGAAAATGTGAGCCATTTTTATTTTGTAAAACCTGTTGTAGAAAAAGAATTATACCTAAATGACATGGCTTCAAAATTTTGCTCATTAAATTGAAAAACTGGAACTTCAGTCTAATTACAAGGTTGAATGAGGCAGAAGAAACGTGCAAGGACAAGGAAGATGATGTTCCTAGGACAGATTTAAAAAATATGAAATTGTAATCATGGCCTTTATATAAATCTTTAGGAAATACTGTAAGATTGCAGTTTCAAAGAGTTGTAACTTTAATAATAATGTCACGATACTACTTTTTGCAGCAACGGGCACCTTCTGAATCGTGCTTGTCTCATAAAGGCTCTTGATGCGAATAACACTTAATAGTGGGAAACTCTAGCCCAATTATAGCAATTTAATCAGCAAGGGAAAGAGATTAAAAACATATACTACTGATGAAAATCTCAAAATAATATAGGCTTCATGTGAGGACATTATTAGTACTAATTTAGTCTGAATTTTCCAATCCAATTATAGCAATACAGTTGGTTTAGTCTGGCATCAATGTTCGCTTTGTTTAACCATTTGAAGAAGCAAAACAATGAACTTCAATTCCAGGTTCATTGTATTTTATGAAAAGGAAAATCTACCCAATTTGAATTTAATTTCCCAATTCCAAGATCTCAATTCAATTCCATTTATCGACGCACACAGTGAAGGCATATAAACATGAACTAGTTATGAATGTATTGATATGATTCAAAATATAAAGTAACATACGGGAGATATTTTCTACTCGACGATGGAGGAGCAAAACTCTAGTATACCCTCAATCATCACAATATTGGAGACCACAAATCAACTCACCAGTTGAGCACAAATTTAAACATTAAATACTAAAACCAATCACGTGCATAAATTAGCACGGAATTGGGCCTCAGAAGTCAGAACTATAACGTACGATCCAATTTAAATTTTTAAAAATGATTATGTTATAATCTGTATTATAAGACCTCAATTACACTGCAAAATGCTGTCCAAATTATAAAATGAAACTTTGAGACGGACCTGATAATGGAGATGAGGGCGTTCTTGGAGGCGTTTAAAATCTTCAGGCATTTCGAAGTATTTCTCCATCATATCGATGAACAGATCGTTGTCTTGTGCCGTGCATCGCGGGTCTTTGACTAGTAATGCTCCCGTCTCCCTTAGGGTTCGGCTCACCTCCGAGCACAGACACTTCACCTGTGGATCGAGCTCTTCTTCATCAGAATCTGAGAATTTCAATGAGGATTCCAAGTATGGAGCCAGATCAATAACTGGAATTTCCATTTTTCAATTTTTATTTCTCTTTGTTCTTTAGAGAGAGTAGAATTGGAGCGTTGGTGAATAAAAAGAGGAGAAAAGGGATGGCGGGAGAACGAAAAAGTTTGTGCTTTATTGCGAGGGGGCCGAAGCGCACGTTAGTGATATTCCACCATTTTGCTTGTTTCAAGAGGAAAACATTTTTTTTTATATTCTTGGAAAAGATTACTTGTTTAGTTATTTTACGTAATTAGTTTACGTATGGGAAAGTCTGTAAATGCCAAGACGCAGTCAAATCTTTATATGCAAAAAGAAATATTCGGTGGATTCTCTAATTCATTTTCAATAAAATTTAATTTCAATGCATTAAATAATGAAGTAAAACATTCGCAAGCATTAACCAGAGAATAATGTTTTCTAATACGAGCCATGGTTAAAACATCCCCAGTAATAAGATAGATTAGATTTAAAAAATTATCACGTATGATATATAAGGCCCAGTTTTTCGTCGATTACCCAAAAAAATTTATTTTTCTTTCTTCTTTTCAATCACATAATTTTTCATAAAATAATATTACATATGAATCGAAAATATTTGCACATTTTTTAATCACACATTCTTCAAAAAATACAATTTCGAACATTAAAATTGCCACATAATTGGGGCAAAAAGGGATATTGTTTTTTAAAAATCATAATGTGGACTCACATAGATGTACTAGGAAAAAAGGGATATTGACTAAAGCATTGTTTAGATTCAGAACTTTTGTTAGACCCGTCGACTCAACAATTAAATTTGTGGAAATTACACAAAACTCTAGAATTAAAATCAACAATTCTAAAATCAGGTGGAAAGTTTAACATTTCAAAAATCAGAATTTTTTTATTAATTATTTAAATAAACTAATTACCAAAAATTAAAAACACTACCCACTACCCAGACACAGATCCATCTCCTCCCTCTCCCTCTCTCTCTCTCTCTTCTCTCTCTATTATCTCTTCCGTCTCTTTACCACACATCGGAGCGACTGTAGGAGATGGGGGCGACGCGAGACTTCAATCTGTGCAAGATGTAGCGTACGAGCGGTGTTAATCTGCGAGGTGGAGCAACGAGGTGCGTTAATCTCAAAGTTGTAAGAGGTGCAGTGGCGTGAGCCAAATTAATCCAATGTTTCGGAATATTAAGAACGCCAGATCTTCATAGAAATTCATCATAAAGTTTCCAATTCATAAGATTAATAAAGCATACGAGGAATTAAAACAAGATTTACACTAACACCCAACAGATCCCTGAATTAAGCCCTTTCACCCCTAATCCTCCTAGCTAGCTGAATGTCCTTGGGCATGATAGTCACCCTCTTAGCATGAATAGCGCACAGATTGGTATCTTCAAACAGACCAACAAGGTACGCCTCAGCCGCCTCCTGCAACGCCGCCACGGCGGAGCTCTGGAACCTCAGATCGGTCTTGAAGTCCTGAGCAATCTCACGAACCAGTCTCTGAAAGGGCAGCTTACGGATCAGAAGCTCAGTGGACTTCTGGTACTTACGAATCTCACGAAGCGCAACAGTACCAGGGCGGAATCGATGAGGCTTCTTCACTCCGCCGGTAGCCGGGGCGGACTTCCTGGCTGCCTTAGTGGCGAGCTGCTTCCTTGGGGCTTTGCCTCCGGTGGACTTACGAGCTGTTTGCTTAGTACGAGCCATTGATTATGTGTATAGGAAATTGCTAAAGTACAGAATTCTGCGAATTGAGGTGATGGATTTGTTGATTAATGGGGGGATTTATATAGAGAAATGGAGGAGCGGGAGGAGTGAAAAATTGGGGAGATTTGAATTTAGGAGTTTTGGAGGGGCGTTTTATGAATAATGAAATGGACGGTAGAGAATTTAGGAAAGAGAAGAGTTTGGATTGTGATCCGCGTTAGGTGTCAATTAGCCAATGATCATTTGCCACGTCAGTTTTGGATTGCATTTTGAATTGTGTGATTCTTTTCCTTTCCCGGTTTGGAGAATTCAGCCTCCTATTTTCAAATTTGAGAACCATTTTTGTTTCGGAGAAATGCAGTTAAGGTATCAAACATTTCATTTTATAACAGACTTAATCCAAATCGTTTATTTGTGTCACTCGAAATATCAAACATTTGAAAATTTTGCAGGTGAAGTCCAAACTGTCGAAAACCGTCAACCACACCATTAGTTGACCTAAAAGGTTTGGATTAAGGTTGCTACAAAATGAAATGTTTGATATTTTAGCTGCAATTCTCTCTCTCGTCTTCTTTTTTAGATTAAAGAGAGTTTTAGAGTGAAGTATTTAAATTTATGAGATATCATTTTGCATTTGCAAATCAAACGAGTTGATACAAATCAGTCTCAAAATGACACTTCTATAATTTATTTTTAGTGAGATTTATAGTTCACTTCCTATGCAATAGAAAGATGTGTACGTGAAATTGAAGAAGTATACACCAGCGGATATAAGGTGAGCAATGGGATTAAATACCCTACTAAGATTTGAAAATTCTTCCAAAAAAAAAGGGTACTAAAATACACTGGTATATTCTGCAAATAATAATAATAATAATATTTAAAGAAAGTCTTGGAAGAAGGAATGTGCGTTAAGTTAAAAAAGACTATTTGAAGTATACAAAAAATTCAACAGCTAGGAATCCTTTTCAATGAATTTGCGAATGAGGGCATGAGAGATATGAGAAGGAAGGTTTGTTGGCCGAAAAAGACTATCTGCAGATAAAGAAGTCATCACGAGCTTCATTTGAAATTTTAAAAAGTTGGTCTGTGTAAAAGGGTATTTGCAAAGAGAAAATGGTCACACCCAGTTCCATAAACACATACAAACTTACGTTATATGTTAAGAAAAATGAGAATGATATTATACAATGTAAGCTCTTATGGATATTAGAATGTAAACTCTTGAATATTACAATGTAGAAATCCCTGTTTATAGGATTACAAATAACATTAAAAGGAAATAAACCAAAAAGGAAATATTGCACAATCAACTAAATAATCCTAATCCTACACTAAAGGGAAAAATATAATGAAAAATATTCTATACAATGTTTCTATATTTAACATTATATTTCCTTGTTTGAGCCCCATTTTGATAGGGAAAATGAATTTTTTAATAGCGTATTGATATGAAATGTGTGGTTAAAAAATAAGAAAAAGTTTTGAATTTTCGTGTAATATTATTTTATTGAAAAATGTGTAATTGAAATTATGTCAAAACACTGTTGAAGAATTCATTTTTTCCAAAAAATGGGGATCAAACAAGGGCTATGACTATCATCTAAATTTATGACATAATTGTGACTAAAAAAAACTTAGCCCGAATACAAATTCAAAAGGATACCCTTGCCAATAAATTTAAGAGTGAGAGCGCGAAAGAGATGAGTATTTCTCCGTAAAGCAAAGAAATCTGGATACTCATCGTGTTGATCTATCTATGGGTTTCAACATTGACAATGTTATTGGATCGATAAAGTCTAGCTCAGCTAAATTTAACATATTCTCTAGAAATTTACTCAATCAGCGAAAAGTGATTGAGTAGGTAGCTTAACAAAGAAAAACATCTTCCGAATCTGGAACAAAATTCAAACACTGGTCAATCATGAAAAACATCAGACACCCGGAATAGCTTCATAAGGAGAAGAATAAAAGTAAGGGACAAGCAATCTTCAATCTTCTCACAATAACTTACTTACGCTTCTTGTTTTATAATTCTTTTTAAAACTCAAAAAGGAATAATCACCAATAAATTTTTATTGACCAATTGACCCACTTAACCTTTTATTATTATTATTATTAGAAATCACCAATAAATTTTATGCTTACAAGTGGTACCACAACCTCATAAATCGCAGTTTACCATTATTTGAAATAAAACATATTTGATTATTTGAGAATCATTTTTCTTCGAAGTTCATTTTTAACCACATTTTCTAAGGTTTCATAATTTAACCATAGTTAAAAAAGACTAGAAATCGCAAGTCTACGAGCTTCTAGCACACCATTGTAATGATATCCCTAGATAATTTTAATACTTAACATTTTATCAATAATTTTAACTAGAATAAAATATAGAGTCAATTAATAAATGCTCATATTTTATAAAACTAAAGCAACAAGAGAAATAAAGAGGAGATAGGGAGAGGCAAAACTCAATTATGTAATATTATTGTAACAGTGGATCCATATTTACAAGTTTAGAAGGGGAGATACAATTTGAATGAAATATACTCTTTTAGTGCAGACATCACTTATCTAAGTATTCTGATAATACTAAATAAATGTCAATAATTATCTCAAAATTTTACTACACTTCCATTTGATGACTATTTGCACAATATGTTTCGTTAAAAATTTTGTTTGACAAAAACTCAGTGGGACAAAAATATTAAACAAAGAAAAAAAGATACAAATAATTATAACACAATTGACATAATAAATACAGTCTCGTCAAAAATCTTGTCAAGAAAATCTAATGAACAGAACTTGAGCTAAGAAAAAATATTACAGCCACTTCCCAGATTTTAATTAATGAAAATTATTGTGTCCAGTCATCCATGTCTTGTACGCCAATGTCTTCATTATCACAATTCTAATAAAATATATTTCATATTATCTTGTCATAGTCGTCAACCAATACCGTCTTCATATAAGATATATTATCTATCACTGATTGACTTTAGTTAACATGATGATCTGTTAAAAAATAGACTATGTTGTTGCATGCTTAGGGAGTCGTATATAATTTCTAACATACAAGAGTAAAATCATAAGATTTTAGTAAGTCTAAATGTCCTACAAGATATGGATATTCATTACACAAAAAATATCTCTTATCAATACCTTTTAGAAAAACTCTATGAAAAAAATTATAATGAAGAAAAAAGAGCATCTCAATTTTTTGAATACATTGTAAAAATCACCTCGTTAAAACCATTGTTAGAAAAAATCAGTGTGACAAACCATATTTACTCTCCCTCATGATAATATCAATTAAATCATATACTTCACACGTATTAAATCATTCAAGGATAGTATTCATAGTCATGACAAATGAGTTGGATATAACCACATATATTATTGCATATCAAATTTCATATATTAAAAGAATAATAAGATATAGACTTGTGATTGTACCCATAACAAGATAATTTATATATTTAGCCCCCGTTTGGTTCTCATTCTTTTCTCATTAAATGAAAAATATGATCGTTATCCATCACATCAAGTCACCAAATTTGAATTTTTATCTCTTGTGTGGGGCCTGTAACGACTATATTTTTCATTCTCATTCTTCCAAAAATGAGAAACAAACAGGACTTTAAAGTCTTTGTGAAATTCATTATGTTAAGAGTCGTGCATTACATATTACAATTATATTTTTCTCGTTTTCTTTTCAGATAAGTATATACCTTTAGATATCTGGACTGTAAATTCATAAATTTTAGGTTCCTATATTAAGTTAAATTTTACTAGGAACATGTTCTCTATTATTTTAATTTATCATTTCGACGAATTTATTTCAATATCCTCGCTATTCATAATATGAAGCATTACATCATGTATAAAAATATTGTTGACGATTTTTCCTTTTTTATTCTATTTCTTTCACATAATGACATAACAAGATATCTCCATTTTTGGGGGGTTTTGGAGTTAATTGTGTCTATACATTCTCCAAGAGATACACCTCCTAAATGGAATCATTTTCCTTAATTGCTCTTTTCTTAGAGATTTTTTTATTAGAATCGAAATGTAAGCATGCTTTTGGCATTCCTTAAATTTTCAAATATAATATTAACGGACTGTCCTCCTCGGATGTCAATTTGAGTTAAAACATTTAAAATTGACGTGTACGTGTGAAATATTGTTAATCTCTTTAATCAGTAATTATATTTTAATGAATTATCATTCCAACATTTGATTCAAATTATCTTTTGTGAGAATATAGATGATATAATGATGTATTATGTATATAATTTTCAACTTCTTAATTCTTTCGTCTAATGCTGAGAATATAGTCCAATCAATTTAATTATGGCTGGACAAAAAACTCTTAAATTGAATCAGACTCAAACTCGAACCGAGTGGCTTGGTCCTATTCTTATTAGGTTAAATACCTGAATAGGTACTAAAATTGAGAACATGTGAGTTTGATCTGATTCTCGATTCTAGACCAAAAATCGAATAATCCAACAAAAGCTGAGTCTACCTAATTCTTTAATCTTTTTATACTAAATAAGTCAAAAAAAATAAAATTTCTTAATATATTTTTAAATTAATTAATTAACTGATTAACTGTGAGTGCTCAAGGCTCCAACTCCCAAGAACTAAACCCAACTTGAACCTAAAATATTTTTCCTACAAAATTCAGTCCAAGCCCAACATCAATTAACAATTTTTTTTATTTTTTGATAGGTACATCAATTAACAATTCACTTAACACTCAACCATTTGGTCATTTAGGTTTAGTTGTTGCCCTCGTTTTCAGTCGCTCCCCTTTCTCAAAGTCGCGACTTCATCTTTGATCCTCAAGATTACCAATATTTTAGCGTTATTATTTACTTTTTTTTTTGATAATTTGTATACATTAGTAAATGGGTCTTATTCCACAACTTTTTATTTGTACATATTTAATTAGAATATGTTATTTTGTACGAGTTAAAATTGAACATATCATTGGTAGGATCAATCTAATGTTGTTGTAAATGTTAAAAATTTAATTATGGTACGAAATCGAACAGAG